CAATTAATAGAAAAAATTTTAAACTAGACATTTTCTGCAAATATAAACAAACAAGTCCCACTGCCTAGGCTCCACCTCAGATCAATTAAAACAGAATCTCTAAGGGTGGGGCCCAGACAGCAGTATTTGTTAAAGCTTTCCAGGTGATTCCAATGTGAGCCAAGGTTGAGAGCCTTGTAAAGAATAATCTCCCTCGGTCAATGTCAATTCCATTTCTAACCTGGAAATAAGCATCAAAAGCCTTCCTTAGAAAGTTCTGTTAGCCTTTGAGGCAGCAACTTCACCTTTCAGAATTTACCTCAAGAAAATAACTAGATATATAAAGAAGAAGAAAAAGGAAATAACTATAGATATAAATAATGATTATGTGGAAGGATGTTTATCATAGTATTATTTATTAACGCAAATGTATAATATTGTGAAGGAACCAGAGGAAGAACTCCTAACTGCTGGGGGTAAAGGCACAGAGTAAGATGAGGTTCCAGCTGTGTCTTAAAGAACGAGGGAGAGTTTGACTTGGACAACGTAGGGGGTGGCGTGGAGGGGAGAGGGGGCAGGCCTGCCCTGAGGTTAGGACAGAGCGGAGTTTATTCATGTCGTTAACCCAGACACTGGGGAGTCAGCTTCTCTAGAGAGAGCAAGCCAGAGACCAGAACCAGGAGAGCCAGTACAGCCTTCCACCCCCACCCCCAAGTGGTGGATGGGAATAGGGCAGGCTAGATGCAAATGCTTCTCAGACTGGTTAAAACTGCAGATCCTGCCATGGCCAGGTAGCCCAGTTGGTTAGAGTGTCACCCCCTTATGCCAAGGTTGTGGGTTCGATCCCCAGTCAGGGCATATATAAAAAGCAACCAGTGAATGAATAAATAAATGGAACAACAAAGCGATGTTCCTCTCTCGCCCGCTCTCTCTTCCTCTCTCTAAAATCAATTAGAGAAATTGATTTTTTTAAATGCCAATTAAAAAAATCAGATCCTTATTGGGTAGGTCTGAGAGGGGGACCTGGCATTCTGCATTTCTAACAAACTCCCAGGTGATGCTGCTACTGGTCCTCAACCCCACTTTCAAGTGGAAAGGGCCTGGAATTAATATAAAGGAGCCGCCCTAGCCAGTTTGGCTCAGTGGATAAAGCATCAGCTTGTGGACCAAAAGGTCCCGGGTTCGATTCTGGCCAAGGGCATGTACCTTGGTTACAGGCTCCTCCCCGGCTCAGGCCCTGGTCAGGGCACGTGCAGAAGGCAACCAATCGATGTATTTCTCTCACATCCTTTATATATATAAAGGAACCATTACCACCCACCTCCCACCCCCAGAAAGGATCTGCAGGCTAATGGAGAACCAGGGCATGGAGTTCCTAGGGGAAAAAAACAAACATGAAGTTTGAGGGTCAATGATCAGGGCTACAGGGCATCCCAAGAATGCTACCGATTCTCTGACCAATAAGGGCTCAGCCAACCCTTGTTCAAGGAACAAGAGCAGAAACCCTCCACCTGGGCAATCGCGCACACACAATTTGATTCCTCAAATATCTGATAAGCACCTCCCAGGCCAGGCACTGGGAATACAAAGACCTCCCAGTGTAAAACTGAAGTGCTGCCTCAGAATAAAAATATCCTCAAAACAAGCCACCTGAGAGATGATTTGGGGCTTTAGGGAGTGTGAGAGATAGGGCCAGAGCCATGCAAGTTTGGTTTAGCAGCGAGCATTCTCAGGAAAGCAATAATCAATAAAGTAATTCAAGCCAGAGCTCTAATTTTTTGAAACTGCAACATGTGCTATAGGTGTGCAATGACACCTTGTATTATGGAGAAAATTAATTTAAAATGGTTAAATATGATAAACTGTTTCACATTACTTCCAAGTGCTTTTAGTTAAACAAATAAAAATTATAGACTTTTTTAAAATACGGAGATGCTTTATTTTGTTGTTGTTGTTCTTAATCCTCCAATGGATATTTTTCCATGGTTTTTTTTTTTTTTAGAGACAGAGCGTGGAAGGGAGGGGGAGAGCAGAGAGAAACATTGATGTCACTCACATCGATTAATTGCCTCCCACACGTGCCCCGATCAGAGGGCCTGGGATGGAGCCTTAACCGGAGATATGTGCCCTTGACCAGAATCAAACCCTGGACCTTCAGTCCACAGGCTGATGCTCCATCTACTGAGCCAAACCCGCTACAGCAAAATACAAGATTTTTTAACAGCCCACACCTTCCTTCTTCAGGTAACCACAAAATGACCCAGAAGAACGAATCCAGACCTCATTCCCTTTTCTTTCAAAGTTAATCACTGACTCAGATACAGGTCCAGATGCCAAATTCTCCACATTTTCTTCTGTAACTCATGTAAACTGTGGCAAAAGGAAACCTGAAGTGTGTTTATCTAAGAACATGTGCATGCTCTCAGAGGTCGTACCAGGTCCTGCCTGGGGAGCGGCCTTCTCTTGGGTAACTGCTCCTCAAAGCCATGCCTACAGACGGCCAAGACTCTGTCTGGCCTGGACCAGTTTCCTTAACAATGGTGCGCAATAAGGAATATGGCAACAGAATGGGCTGGTAAGAATCTGCCTGTGTTTCTCCAGCGGCACAATGAGCCCCATGAGAGGGACAGTCTGTCCCTCCAGAGGTGACTATTTGGGGCTCTCCGAAGCTCTCCTAAGGAATTATGGGTATGGAAGCAAGGGTGTGCCCCAAACTGAGAGCACTGATACCTATCAGGAGGGACGTGAGATAGTGTGAGCTCTCTCAAGGGCACTTTTACTTGATTGATATCATTTGAATGTTTTATAACAAGAATATATTACTTGCATAATTAAAAAAATTTAAAGCATAAACAAATCGAAACACTTCCAAAGCTCCCTTTGCATTTATCCCATATTCATCAAACAGATCTGATTCTGTTTGCCAGTAAGCCCTTCCAGCAGGAAGAGAAGGTGCTGAGCATGCTAATCAACTTGGATGTTTCTTGGTAAAAGTTAATGAAGTGCACCGTGGGGCACCATCTCGGTGGGTGTGGTCCCTCAGACTCCTATCTCTTCTCCTGAACAGATCCCTCTCTCACCCTACCACCACAAGGCTCTTTCAGAAATGCTTCCTGGCCCAGCTGGTGTGGCTCAGTGGTTGAGTGTCGACCCAGGAACCAAGAGGTCTTGGGTTCGATTCCTGGTCAGGGCACATGTCCATGTTGTGGGCTCAATCCCCAGTAGGGGTGTCCAGGAGGCAGCCATTGATGATATTCCTCTCTCTCATCAATGTTTCTATCTAACTATCTTTGTCCCGTCCTCTCTCTAAAAATCAATAAAAAAGATAAAATCTATACATCTTGGCAGGACATGCCAAGCCCTGCATGCTCTGGCTGGCCTCACCTTTTCCTGCTCCCCACAACGGCCACAATAAAATGCAGACGTGTTCTTCCCGGTGAGCTCCTGGATTCTGCCCGTCCTGCTCCTCCTCCTAGAACAGCACTTTCCTCCTCTCTGCTCCCTGAAATCTTCCATGTCCCCTAGGGATCCAGCATGGTCTCAGCTACTGCTCTTTGTTGGTGTCCCCTGACCCCAGCTCAGTGCCAAGGACTAGGGTCCCTGCTCTGGGCTTCCTCACTTTATTACAGTGCTCTGGAACTGAACCTGCAAAATCTCCGAGGTCTGCCTGCATAGGGCTTCCCCACAGTACAGCTGAGCACACTGTTAACCTGCACCCTAGGCACCTGGCCCACAGCAAGGGCTCCATTAAAATCTATCGACAAAATAAAGGTATGTCACCCCCAAGGCTCTGATATCACAGACTCACAAAACTGAACATCTCAATTTGCAGAACAAACTGTGGGGAAAGTCAGTTGGCTTATCTTTCTCTGACCTCCCTGAACCTGAAACATCTGTGTATGATGGCCTAGGCCTGCGATGCCCTCAACACATCCCTAGCCTAGATTTCAATGGACCATGTGGGAGGCAGGAGACTGGGCCTGTGTCCTATTACATCCCGAAAGTGAAAGCAAAGAGGGAACCCAACCCTGACCACCTCATCAGACATAATTCTAAACACCTCCTTAAATCTGTTCATGTGGTTCATAACATTAATCGATGTTCAAATGTTGAACTCATTTTGCATCCCTGGAATAAACCCAACCTGTTAATGAGGAATTGTTTTTTATACATTGCTGGATTCAGGATCCTAATATTTTATAGAGGATTTCTACAATTATACTCATGAGTATACTGGCTTATAATGTTCTTTTCTTGTATCATTCTTATCAGATGTAGGATCAAGGTTATACTAGCCTCTTTTTCAATATTCTGGAAGAATTTGCACACAACTGGAATTACTTATTACCTCAGTGATTGGTAGAACTCACCAAGGAAACCTGCTAGGCCTGGAATTTTCTTTGAGTGAATTTACTAATTCAGTGTCTTTGATGATTTATAGACCATTTAAATTTTCTATTTCTTATAGAATCAATTTTGGAAAATTATATTTTTCTAGGCAATTCCAAACATTTGAATGACAAAAATAACTGGTATCTGGAATGCTGACCCTAAAGTGAACTCTGCAAGAAATTAAGTGCCTTGTGAATCATCAAAGAAACAACAGCTCACATGTGTACTGTATGTTACACTTTATAAGAGCGCTGCCCATATGTTACCTCATCTGAAGATCAAGGTATGGGGGTGCTCTGGTTACTTTTGGGGTGTGTGTGTGTGTGTGTGTGTGTGTATTTGCAAAGGGATGAGTAACTTCCTATTTGGCCGAGTCCGGTGATTCAGATCAATACCCATTTGCTGGCCACACTAGGAAATCGTGTGGAGGCCTCACTGCTGAATCCCTCTTCACTCCTGGAAGCCACTTGTCATGAACAAGAGGAAGCGGCCCCCAAGTGCCTTGGGAGTGTTCTTAGCTCATTGCTGGAAATGAAGTCTAGGGGCTGTCGTGTTTACTCACCGGGTCCACAGGACTCGTGGCCTGGGAAACAGCGGGCAGCGCCGGGGGTTGGGGGGAGCACACTCACCAGGGCCTCGAAGTCCTTGCAGTCGTGGCGGGCGTAGGACGCGGGGAAAGGCCGCAGCGCCGAGTCCCGCCGGTAGCTCTGCAGGGCCGAGGTGAACAGGCTGCACCGCAGGTCCGCCGCCAGCGTGTCGCGGGCCGCCGCCTCCCTGACGGCCGCCCAGCCTGCGGGCTGCATCCCGGGTGGCGGCGCGTGGCCTGCGGGGAGACGCGGCGGGTCAGGAGCGAAGGCGGAGCCTGCGGTCAGAGCGGGGCCGGGCCGGGGACAAAGGGCCAGCGGGGGCTGGGGTCGCAGGCCTGGGGGGGAGCTGGGCGGGATGGCCGGGTGAGAACGTGCTAACGAGTATTTGCCTCCGGGGGTCCTGGGGGTCCTGGCGTCCGGGGCGCTCGCTGCTGGGGAGACGGGCCGGTAGAGGAGGGACCGGTCAGCGCGGCGGGGGCTGGGAAGGGCTGGAGGTAATGGG